CACACACACACACACACACACACACACACACACACACACACACACACACACACACACATATGTCCACAAACATGGCTCAGGGTTTTAATCAGAGAGCGGCCCTCCTCGTGCTGACCAGGCCAGGGGGCTTACTTGGCCGGCGCGTGCGAGTCGAATCAAGGATGAGAGGAAGTGGTGACAGAGCGAATGTACCAATTAAGGGGGCTGATTGGTCTCTATTCCACTGTGGCAAAAACAATCTCTCCCACAACAGATTGCAATCTGACAGCACCAGATGTAATTCATTAATTATACTGATAAAAAACGCTGCGACTCCATAAACCTCCATGCTGCTTAGTTAGTTTGGTGTTTTTTATGATGAGTTATAGATTTTTTCCCGAGGTTCTCTGTTGAGTGTGTAAATGTGTGTGCCTGTAATTGTCTCAAAGCAATCGAAGGATTTGAAGTTATTTCGAGAATCGCTGTATTCTTTGTGGCTTTTGTTTGCGAAGAACAAACTCCAGTGGGCAGATAAAACTACAGCTGGTGAAAAACACCCCTCTGAGCTGGGAGGAGATGACAAATCTGCAGTCTTTCTAACATAATAGGGGTAAAATGATACACCCAAGTCACGGTTTGGTACAGGTTCAGTCCAAGAGAAAAGACAAACAAATGCTTGAGTTTTTTTTAAACAGACAATAACTCTTCTGGGGGACAGAAAAACAAAACAAAAAAAACTGCATGTGGGGAGGCTCTGAGCTACCAAATTATTTAAAGCAAGATAGAATTTGTCAATAGAAAATAACAAAATGCAGTTAATAAAATATTCTTCTAAGTGGGAGCAGGAATCACCTGAGACTGATATATTTGTTGTCTGGACCTGTCCTGACTGTCTGTACTGTTTCACCCCCACAAGATAGCCATCAAATTTAATCCCCAACACTAAAAGTTTTGTTTACGGGCTTAGAGGAGAGAGCTCCAAATTGATTTGGGCTTTAAATAAACTAAAAAATCTTTTCTGTCTGAGGTTTTTACTCGTCTCCGTTTGATGATTAATCCACGCTTTGTGTTTTGCCGCCGCTCAAGGCAAAGAGGAACGAGAGGAGGATAGTTGAGAAGCAAGGGAAGGAACAAGATGAAAGGTTTGAGGTTCTGCCTCACCCTGTCAGACAGGTTCTTGAGTGCGTCCCTCATTCCAGAGGAGGTGTGCTCCTGTGCTGCCTGGAGGAGTCGGTCAGCTGAGCTGGTGATGAGCGGCTGGAGGAGACTCACAGTGCTGAGCACCTCCTGAGCTTTGGCTGTGTGCTCTGGGGAGTAGTAGATACACTGGTAGGCAGTGCTGAAGCTGTGGTGGAGGGAGAGAAAAAAAAGAGGAAAATCAATTAAAGCTGCAGCTGCCTGCTTAGACAAGACATATAAAAGTGGATGACATATCACTTTAAAAGAAGTCTGCAGCGCTTCTCCGCACTCTAATTTAAGCATTGCAGAAAAGAAGCTCAGTCCACAGTTATAACAAGCAATCTGAGCCTAAATGTGATTATCTCTAAACAGACTTCTAACAAGGTGCAAGTATGTTTTTTATTTACAATATGCCCTTCATTTTCTATGCATACACAGCGTCTCAGGCCAATATTGAAGTTGCACAAATCAAATAATGTTGCATCACGCGCTGCATTGATTTCAATTAAGCTTCAGCTTCTATGAAAAGCCATTTAATAATTAATGGGTGTTTTCAAAATACATTGCAGATAATTATGCTTTTATAGTCAAAAACAACATTTCAATTAGTCCCAATGTCATTTATATAACTTCAGTTCACATTTCCTGTTCATGTCACGATCTGTGTTTATTTTCTTAGTTTTCTAGTGTGTTCAGTGTTCCCCAGTGTGTCACTTCTCAGCTGCACCCGATCTGTTTGATTGTCACCCTTGTGTTTCTCCTCAGGTGTTTTGTGTTTCTGTAATTAGTTTCTGTGTATTTAAGCCCTGTCCTGTCTCTGTCTTTCGTGGGATCATTTTGTTTGGTTTGTTGTTCCTAGTGTTCCTTGTGCTCTGTTCTCCTCGTGCCTGAGACTCTCCTTATATGTAAGTTTGCTGCCATCAGCCCTCTTTTTGTTGCCTTTATTAAACCTTTTGTTATATTTTT